AGGGGAAGGTCTGGTTGATCTGTGGGCTGGATGCATTTGAATCATAGAAAGCCATAGAGATGTAGATAAAAACTGCAAATTATTACTTGTACGTTAGACACTAAAACTGCACTTTCCAAAATTAAATTAATTTAAATTAAATTAAATTAAATGTGTACAGGCAGTACAGAATAGAATATTTCCATCATGCAGATAGTTCTATTAGACAGCATTGCCGTAAGATGTGGTTAGCATAGCTGAAAACTTCTTAAGCCACATAAATAAAATGCAACTAAAGGTGTGGAGAAAGACAAGGATTTTCATTTGAATGAAGCACTGTGAGGGCCTCAGAGTGTACCGTACTTCAGAGCAATAGCCACCACTGTCCTGGCACATGACAGGCGGTGACTGAGGGCGACGGGGCCGAGGAGCTTGCACACAGGTTTTCAAAATGTGGGAGCTACATGGACACATTGGTGAGGTCATGGAACCTCACCACCGTTCTCTAGGGGGACCTGAAGGAAAAGCACCGTGAGAAGGGGCCATGATCTGAGCCATGTGGATTAATGCTGCCAGGATCCTTTCCATGTCCTTTTACTGCAGTTATCCAAGACAACGTTGGCTTCCTCTCTTCACAAGAATGGAATTGTTATCTAGGGAAATCTCTTTGAGAAAGAATGAGACTTAGGTAGAAAATGTCACTAGGCTTTAGAATTAAATCAGAAAGGAAAAGAGCTACAAATCTCCTGGAAATTAGCCATTGGTAGGAGCTGTGTGCAGTTGGAAGATTAAGCATTTGCTGATACCTTGTAGATGAAGAAGGCTCAGGAAAGGCTTAGTTAAGTGACTGTCTAGGGAGGTCTGCTCTCTTGTACACCTTCCTCCTGAGGCTGGGACGAAAGGGCAACACCTTCAGAGTGAAAGATCAGATTTTAACACAAAACTGGCTACCAACTGTAGATGTAGTAAGAATCGAGGCTATTTTATGCTTTCTGTTACCAGTTTGTTAGGTTCGTATTGTTTATTCCAAAATCATTAAAGTTGTAAATCAGATTTCTTTGCAGGAAAGACAGGAAGGTCATCAGATGATTATAGAATTTCTAGGAGTAGAAGATTGAACATTTGCTTACATTTGCACAAATGTGTTCCAAAATGTGATTACAACTTTAAATCAATTCTAGGTGATCCCCATCCCCACCCCTCAACCATTTTCTTTCTTAAGAAGATTAATTTGTCTAAAGCCACAACTCGTGATGGGTTTCCAGAGAATCTTTCAGTTTGGGCAAGAAAGTTTACAAAAGGGATCTGGGAGTTAGAGGGACAGGCAGAGTGTAGGAGGGGAAATTTCTTCTCAAAAGAGACCTAGCCACAAATGGTAAGTTTTTGGTATTTTTTGTTTTGTTTTGTTTTATAAAAAATTGTGGTTATGCACTAAGGAAATTGTGTCAACCAAGGAGGAAATAATTATACCATTTTATGTAGCAAAAAATTAAAATTAATGTTAGATATTTTTCTTGTGGAATTTATTTTCTGCAGGCTTTCAATTTAAAAGGAATATCCTTAATGGTTTTGTGCATTGTTGTTGGGTTGCTATCAGGAATTGATTTCTGTTTTGCTCAGTTCATTACAATGACTTATGGATTCAGTAATCTCCAAATTTTTTACCATATAACTGATTTCTTGTGGAATAGGGCAACTGTTATATCCCTTACTTATTTTTGCTTTATTTTATTTTGTAAATGATCCTAAAATTCCTCAGATTAGTACAGTTACTTGTAACATGGGTGTTTGACATATGTCATTCCAATCAATTGAAAGTAGAATTCATATATATGTTCATGTGTATGAGTCTTTTTATTCACACTAAACTCTACCAGGACAAGGAGTTTATAGCCTCCTTCCCTACTCTTGATTTGCTCTACTGTTATATTCTCAGTCCCTGGACAACAGCCTGGCATATACTTAAATGTCTGATCAATATTTATTTAATGAATGAAAGAAAGAACAAATAAATGACCGAACTTCAAGAGACTCAAAGATTTTCTAAGGTACAGATGTAAGACTTATTACATTTAACTTACAAGTGTAATTTGAAAGGGGATGGATTTGTAGACATCTACACTTCCAGCTATGGCATCACATGTGTAGTGGGTTCTGTGAAATCCATAACACCCCTGGGCAACAACCCCCCCACCTCGATACCTCCACCTGGAGTCTCAGTCTCAATATGACCCAGACTGAACTGTGCACCTCAGTACCATCCATTGCAAACTTGTGTTGTCTGTCTCTGTGAATGGCAACATCTATCTCCTCCTGATCACACTTCCTTGTTTGGTTGATCCTGGTCAACCCCATGCTATCTCTATCATTCCACCCCTCTCCATCCTCACTGTTCCTGCCTTTGTTCACGTCACTAACACCCTCTGCCATCTTGGTGACATCATGCTTTGATACACTCTCCTGTGACTCTCACTGGGGTTTAGGGAATTTTCCTAAATGCCATTTAACCACATCACTGTCACATTCAAAATCCTTCCCTTACTGGAAAAACAAGACAGTTCTTCAGTGTGGCCCACATCGTAGGGGTTTACCAATTAACTATTGCTGCCTTGTCTCCTTTCTGCCTTCGGAGCCCAAACCTCAGTACCCACTTGTCTCATGGAACACGTTTCTGTTCATCCATCTTAACATTAACTTTCTATATGCTCTACTGTGTGGTAAGGCAAATACTATCTTCATTACTATCTAGCAAAGATATGTAGGATCTTATGCTTTTATTTTTTAAGATAAAATTTAAAGTAAATTTTTTAAATCCACCTGACTTTCTGTAGAACTAGGAGGCTGGTACTCAGAATACACCCCATTGACCTCCACCCAGACATGTGGCTCTGCTAAGAGAGTGGACCCCGGGTCACTGTCCTAAACCCAAGAGCTCCTGCGGCCAGCAGCTCAATAGGCCAGTGTCAGTGACTCTCTACTGAATATTATCCAGTCCCGTGTATGTCACCGCATTTTGCAGACGCACACTTCTGTGCATGTGGTGTTTCTCCAGTGTGTGTCTTGTGCTTGGCAGGTTGAACCCATTTCACTTGCCTTCTTTTTGAAGGACTTTAAAACTTCTCTTTCGAAGTTGGATCTTTTCGCCATTTTCTCGCACGAGAATGGATTTACGTGTCTTTTTGTAACATATATTTTTAAACATTTTAAGTGTTTTGGAAATAGGAACTAAAAGTTTATGTTCTCTGCCACCTCGATGTAATCTAGATTTCTATAAACATCATGATTTAACCAATTTTCCTGACTCCATTTGCATTGTGTTCTTGGTCAGTAAGAGATGATTTGAAATAAGCTTATTTCTGTCTTTCTTCTCATCTCCCCCCGCCCAGGTTTTGGTGAGGTAATATAGAATGTGATTATTCAATTATTAACTCTTTTTTTCTGAAATATTAAACAAATGTGTTAAATTTTACAAGTACATTTTAAACAATTATTTAAAGTTAACTATATCTTTTAACATACTTTGATACTGGTATTTCTTACATCATTTCTTGGGTGTTTCCTTTAGGTTAATTTTTGGTTTTACTTAGACAACTGGTTTCATGAAAAGACTATGTGGCATATTCTTTAAGGTTTTGAGTGTTCAAATATAGATTAATTTTGGCCTTATCAGAGAATTATAACTTTCCCGCATAAAAAACTTTGGGATGATAAGATCAGAATTGTGAAGTATTTTCCCCACAGCCTTACATGTGATGTATCTGAAGCCAGTGCCATTCTTCTTTGAAAGTAGCCAGTATTTTGTGTGAAACTTTGTAAGATTTTTCTTTACCCCTAGAATTCAGAAATAGTACCAAGACAAGAGGAGGTGTGGGTCTTTTCTAATAATTGGTCACTATTGTGTGAGTCTTCTCTATAGGAGAAGTCGAGGTTTTAGGTTGGTTTTAGGTTTAGGTTTTGTTTTCCCTGAGGGACTTCTATCTTTGACATCTTTGTGCCTGGCAAATGTCTTGGCAGCAGGTGGGTTCTGATGCAATGTCAGTTGGATGAATCCAGGAAAACCAAACAAAGCAGCAGTATTCCAGCTGGCTTCAGTCTGCACCGGCCAGGAACCATGAGGGGAAGAAAAATAAAGACTCCACATGGTAATTAAGTCTCCCTGCTCCAGTGGAACTCCTCTGGATGAGACACCAGCCAGGGGCACCAGTGCTCCCAGACCATGAGCTGAGCGCCCTTCACACCCAGAGTGAGGCTTGTCCATGGATTTCTAGACTAATTGGGGTGGGGGGTTCAAGGCCCCTGTGTGTTCCCTCCAGACCCACTCATTCCACTCGAGTGAGAATTACCTGTCTCCCCACTGCCAGGGCAAGCCCACCCTTGGACCCCTTCAGCAGTGGCAGGTGGTCTGATGGTGGAAGCTGGGCACAAGGGACTTTTCTTAGATTATTGGGCCTCCTGTATTGCTACGGATGCTCCTTGTCATGGTGCTGGTACAGCTGCTCCCCAGATGCCCCGTGTCTTCTGACACCGGATTGAGAGGAACAGAATGAAGAGACAGAGGGGGTGAGGGAAGGGACAGAAGGCAGGGGAGTGAGAGGGGGGAAAGCAGTCTCAAGGGGGAAAAACTGGGATAAGTAGAGGGTGAGGTTGGGGGTGGACCACAGAGAGGGAGAAAGAGCTGCAGCAGCAGGACGAGGGAATGGTGGAAAGGCCATGGGCGCCATGGCATGAACCTTCCATCTCCTCTCTTTAAAGAAGAGGACATTGAGAACCCGAATGTGGACCTGATTCCTCTGAGGCCAGAAGGATCTCCATTTTCCAGCTGGCCCAGACTGAAGCCAGGACCCCTCTCACAGAGGGTGTGCATAGGGGCAGTCCGGGGGTACAGGGAGACAATGTGGAAGCTAGAGAGTGGCAGAGAGGGAGGGGAAGTGAGAGCCCTGTGGGGCTGCCCTGAGGAGGCAGGAGGGTTTCTCTGACAGGGAAGTGGGCAGAGAGGGAAGTCTGCCTGTCTGCAGCAGGGGGAGTCTGATGAGAGCAGGAGGGTTTGGAAGGCAGTGATCTGAGTCCTGTTGAGGCATCCTTCATCTGACTGAGCCGCAATGCTGCTCCTGTTGCTGCTGCTCTTTGAAGGATATCTCCAGCATGGAACAAGCCTAGACGGTAGGACAAGCCCTGGGAAGACTTCTGATGCTGGGCGCAGAGGGGTGAGGTTCTGGGAGGACCTGCAGGAGGGAGTACTACTCCCATAGGATGCCCTTGGAGTCTGCATGCCAGGCTGGCTGCAGGCAAAACATCTTGCCACAGTTCACTTTCTGTTTCTAGTTTTGGGGAGAGGAAGCGGGCCCAGGGAGCAGGGTGGGCTATGGGAATGTGTGCAGTCTGTGTAACTGTCTCCATGGTTCCTCACCCATGCTCACGTACTCTCTCCATGTGGCCTGGCTTCTCAGCACCCCAGGTCCCAGGACCCCCTGATCCAGCCACAGAAGAGCCCCTCTCCTTCCGCATCCTCCAGACCTCCTCCTTTGCCAACAGCAGTTGGGCGTCCTTGCAGGTATCGGGCTGGCTGGGTGATCTGCAGACTGAAGGCTGGGACAAGGTCTTGGGCACCATGAGCTTCCTGCGGCCCTGGTCCCAGGGCAATTTCAGCTCTGAGGAGCTGAAAAACCTGCAAAATCTGTTCCTACTCTACTTCCACGGTTTCATCATCGAGGTGCAGGCCTTTGCGCACCAGTTTCAGTTTGAATGTGAGTTCCTTGCTCCACGCCAATCTCTGCCTGAAGGCTCCAATCTGCTTCTGAAGGGGCTCTGACCTCACCCAGCCTTCCTGGACTATTCCCTGTCCCCCTCGGGCTCCTGCTCTCTCTCCTGCCTCACCATTCATCACTGTCCCCACTCCACCCGCCCATCCACCCTAGACACAGATGGGCTGGCAAGGACACATCCCTCCACACTGCCATATACACCTGTGTGTTCTGGCTCCCTGCAATAGTGTCTCCCTGTGATCTTCTGCCCACCACCCCTGGCCCCAGACATGGCCTCTCCAGCCAGGATTCTGCCCTCCCTTCTCTGGCCTGAGAGTCTACCAGGCCCCCCTGTACCTAACCATTCCCAAGTGAGCCCTTCCAGCAGGGTCCCCAACTTCCCAACACCTTCGCATCTAGCCCCTCCCTATCAATTATTTCTAAATACATTCTTATCTTCACATTTTCTTCCCACAAATTCCCTTCCCTCCCCCACCCAACTCCAGCATGCTGTGTGATTCCAGAGCAAATCTCCTAGACTGCTTACTTTCCTTCCCTGTAATTGTTTCCACATGGCTTCTGTTCACCCCCAGACCCCTTCGAGCTCCAGGTGTCAGCTGGCTGTACGGAACATGCTGGGAAGGCCTCGGGAAGCTTCTTGAATGGGGCTTATCAAGGCTCAGATTTTCTGAGTTTCCAAGGGAACTCCTGGCAGCCATCTCCAGGAGCTGGGAGTCGGGCTCAGAAGGTCTGTGCGGTGCTCAGCAACTACCTAGATATTAAGGAAATCGTGCAGACCCTTCTCAGCCACACCTGCCCTCGGTTTCTGGCAGGAATCCTTGAAGCAGGGAGGTCAGAACTGGAACGACAAGGTGAGTTTTCCCAGTGCTTTAAGCTTCATATTCCACTCTTTACCATCCCTTTGAAACATACACTGAGAGGCTAGAGGGTGGGATATGTGGGTTTAGGACTGTTCCTTAGATGAGAGAAAGAAGTGATTACTCCAACTGCTAAGACCACTGAGTCACTGAGCTCGGTCCCTGGTGCCCCTAAGTGCCTTGTCTCCTCATCTTCTCTCCAGTGAAGCCCGAGGTTTGGGTGTCCCGTGGCCCCAGTCCCGGTCCCGGCCGTCTGCTGCTGGTGTGCCACGTCTCCGGCTTCCACCCAAAGCCTGTGTGGGTGATGTGGATGCGGGGTGAGCAGGAGCAGCGGGGCACCCAGCAAGGCGATGTCCTGCCTAATGCTGATGAGACGTGGTATCTCCGAGTGACCCTGGATGTGGCGGCCCAGGAGGCAGCTGGCCTGTCCTGCCAAGTGAAGCACAGCAGTCTGGGAGGCCAGGACATAATCATCCACTGGGGTGAGAAAGAGCTGGAGTCTGGCCAGGAAGCAATAGTCCTGGGGCTGCTGAGGGACGTGCTTGGGAGATGGGTGGGAACACTAGGCACAAGAGGATGGAGGTGGGAGGATCCAAACAAAGAAGGGCAGAGAATGATCACTGTTAAATTTCAAGAAATGGAAGGAAGGGATTGGAGTACTAAAGAGAAAAGGAAGAAGGATCTGGTGATTTGGGTAAGAGATGGGGTGGGAGATTGGGGACACAGACTCAGAAGGAATTGAGATGAAGTCTTCAGAACATGCAGATGAAAATTCTAGGAAGGAGAAGCATTGATGGTGGTGGCGGCGTGGAGAGCCTTGTAGACTGACATCCTTGGTTTACACCCAAGGAGGTGGAAACTCAGTCCTGCTGACACTGCTCTGTCTGGTGGTGATAGTTACCCTGCTCCTGCTGCTTGTAAGGCACTCCTGCTTTAAAAAGCACAGGTGAGCCTCTTCTTGTTCTGTTTCCTCAATTTCTTATCAACTCATTCTTCTTTCCTCCACCCTCCCCGTTCTCTCTCTGATTTCCCTTCCTTGGGATGAAAATCTTTTCCCACAGCTCAAGTCGGAAGGCCCTGGCGCCCCCTACCCCCAGCCCTGACTCCCCCATAGGGGCTGATGCCCAGGGGCCCAGGACTCCTGGACACCAGCTCTACATGCCACAGGAATCGTGGATCAAGAATAGATTTTTAGAGAAATGGAAAACAAGCCTAAACCAGCTCTGGCAACATTAGTTTTACCTCACACATAAAATCCTTTTCTGCTTCTTAAACATGGTTTATACCTATAAATAAAGCATAATTTTGATAAAATGGCTTGTTGTGGCAGAAATCTTGACCGCTTTGGAAACTTGTTTTATTTTTTGCCCCATCTTCTAGCAATATCTTTTCTGCTTTGGCCACATGTTCATTGCTGCTGATCCTTCAGACTCTAATTCAGATGCTTCTTTCTCATGGAATCTTCCCTGCCTTGCCCAATTGAAAGCTGTTCTGTACTTCCAAAATTGGATAGATCATCCTAAATATGTTCATCTCTTCCTACTCTGAACAGTGGTTATCCATATTTTTGTTTTTCTGTTTTTTTCTCAGTTGCTTAAAAGCAGGATGTAGGTGTTTATAATGGTACCTATGACCCAAACAAAGCCTGACCTGGATTCAGGGCCAGCTTCATGGGCATGTCATCTATGCAGTGTTTGCTGTCTTGAAATCCTTAATAAAACTTGGAGATACTGTATTTTCATTCTGGACTCACCCCACAAAATATGTAGGTGGTTCAGCGTAAAGTGTTTCTCATTAAATTCTGCCTGAAATAAATTTTTGTCAAATCGAGTGATGTTTTCTTAATCCACTCCCCTTTGACATCACTGCATCATCTGACTGTGTTCTTATTAAAACCCTTTCTGTCTCCCGGTGTCTCTCACCAGAGGTTGGGGGAGGGGCAGGTGAGTGCTCCAGACTGCACAGTGATTGGGGTGTCTCTGCGTCTTCAGAGACATTTCAAGAAAATAATAATACAGGACGTGTCTCCCATCAGAGTGAGGACCGGGCATTCCCAATTCTCTGAGATTGTGTGTGACCACATTTTTCTTCACATGGCAGGTACTCAGGGAAGAAATTCCTACTTTGAGTGGTCAGGAAGAGGACATGGGGACAGAGGATGGGCAGAGCCAAGGCAGCGAAGGAAAAGAGTGCTTAGATGCTAAGTGTTTACTTTTCTTTATTGGTTCAGTTTATTATTATTATTATTAACATTATTATTTACAGTTTTCCTCTAACTTTTTAAAATATGGATTTTAAAATGATCTACTTAACTTTGAGACACATTGACTGAGCCTGTTGGAGAGCGGGAAGCCGTTAAGCTGTAGAGTTCATGCAGATGTCTAGCCGACACCTCCCCTTAGGTGGGATAATTGAGCAGACTGCAGATTTCATAGTGGAAATGCGTCACTCTTTATATTGGTCATTTTTCAAGTTAAGACACAGGGTTCCATGACCCCTTACCTAGGCCATAACCTACCCATGAATAAGGTATTGGGGTCAGGCTTCCCCTACCAAGAGTCCATCACCTTCCGCATGACATGTTCAGACTGCTTATATAGAAGAGTCCAGGGAGGAAGGCAAGACTTTACAGGGCTGTTTGAAGCCCTCTATGATGAAGTTCAAGGTCCCCTCACATGGCACAAGGCCACAGGCGGTGACCTATATCAAAATGAAGAGACTCATATAAGGACTTCTCAGTTCCTAGCACTAGTGTGTGATGCAAATATATTTCGGGTGTTTCCCATTTGGGTGGACTTCTCCCCACTAGTCTAATTTTTTGGTCACAATAATTCTTGAACTCCTAAGATGCCTCAATCTCACTTCTCAAGTCCCATGTCCAACCATCCCCCCCACTGTGTGTTGTGCTTCTATGATGCTAGGCTTTCTGCCCTTCAGTTGTGCCAAGCTTCTTCTCAGCTCGAGGCCTTTATTTTAACTCTTCCCTCCACCCAGGGCCATTCTTCATTTACTTTGATCTTCCACGGATGATTTCAGGACAACCTCCAGCTCCCCAGCTCAAGCATCATCCTCATAGAGAGGCCCTTTGTGGTCAGTGTAGCCAAAGTGGCCAGTCTCCCTCTGTCACATACTATTCCAATGTTCTTTAGTCATTTGTGTTGAATACTGGATTGAGCTGAAATTATCTCATTTGCTTTTATGTAGTTAATGCCCTTTTCACCTACAATGTAGACACTGTGACATCACGTATATTGTCTGTCTTGATCACAGGTGTATCCTAGTGTGTAGATGGTAGCTGGACATATAGTGGGTGACTAAAATTATGTTTGGTGAATGAACAAATGCCATCAACTTTGACTTTCCAGAAAAGATCTTAGAGATCCCAATTCTCTAGTAAGCCATTGGTTTTCAGGAACTGACATGTTTAAGTAGATCATCGATATTGTGGCAATATGGTCACTGGTGGCTCTCTCTGTCCTTCAGATTATTGTCTTTATAAGTGTGGCAAGAGCCTAAGATGCAGATAGGGAGGAAGGCAGGAGGGAGGAGATCTCAGAAGATCTTGTCAGAGTCCTTTATACTGTGAGTGAGGAGCCCAGTTAACCACAAAGTCCTGCTCCTGGTTTCTCTGCTGCTGAATTGTACTGATCCTCAGGGAATCTTTCAGGGAAGGATGATTGTTGAATACAGAGATTTTCAGGAAACTCTGGGTTCCTAAACACGATACCCTAACACATCCTAGCTCTACTCTGACAAGGTCCTGTAGTTGAGTAGTGGGTGTATGTTTGGGTGAGGAACAAGATATACACCTGAAGGAGATGGACCTGGGCTGCCTACATGTATGCATCCTCTCCCCCATCCCCCCAAAATTGGCATAAATGGGCTCAGAGAGAGCCCCAAGGGTAAATGACTATGTGGCCAGATATGCCACCTTAACAGGGTTTGGGGAAGTTTTACATATTGGTTCAGGAGATTGTCAGAAAACCTGTGTCATCCCCATGGTGTAGACCTTCATTCTGGGTAATCTAATGTATTTTAAGCTCCGGGGTGAGGACCTAGTATTTAAGAGCAAAGCGTGTCATCTTATCACCCAAGAAGAGAAGTGTCACCTACTACTGTTAACTGTGTAATTCTGGCTGAACCCCTGGAACATGGGCTTATTTCTCTGGAGGGCCAGGTGTTCTCAATAGTGAGAGATAACCCTCTCCAGTCTTGCCAGCTGTAACACCAAGAAGGGGAGATGCTTTGCTGCTAGTACAAACCTGGAGCCTACTGTATTTTGCTGTGCGCACAAATGTGGTAGAAATATTATGAGATCATTTGGAAGCAGAGATGGAGGCATGATTCTTGGTTGTTGGTGAATTCTCCAGGAGTAGCAGTGATCGGTGGAGGAGGCTGCAGTAGGACTGGTGGGATCGGGATGTGCTGGGCCAAGCTCAGTAGCCATATGCCCTCGGCCAACCATGGCTGAGAGAATGCCCATCTGCCATCTTCTACCTAAGAAATGAAGAAAGCCGAGGATGTGGACAACTTGGTTAAGTGGAGCCCTGTCAACTGGTACAGGATCCAGGCTCCCAGAATGTCACTTGCTGCTGAAGAAAGATATCTATGCAGAACATGCTCTGGAGCCTGTGTTCAGTTGGGGTAGGGGGTGTCATGATCTCAGAGTCATAGGATTGAGCCCCATGTTGGGCTCCACACTCAGTGTGGAGTCTGCTTTGGATTCTCTCTCCCTCCCCCTCTGCCCCTCCCCATTCTCTTGCACGCGCTTTCTCTTTCTCATAAATAAATAAATAAATAAATAAATAAATAAATAAATAAATAAGAGAAGTACCTATTTTATGTTATGGTTACACCTGATTGAATACTAATAAACATTCAAATGGAGCCTGCTGTACAGAAGACACTCTCCTACATGCTTTATACATATTAACTCATGTGATCCTCAGAACAATTCTGAGGCAAACATCATTATTCCCATTTTATAGATAAAGATACAAAGGTCACATAACTAGTAAGCATTGTAAGCAGTTTTGCTCCCAAACCCATGCTTAACCATTACACTACACACTCAACAAACAATTGTTGGAAGCCCTACCTTGTGATAGGTAATGAAATGCAGCAGAGACACAAGGTGAAATCCCTTATGCACTGCACTTCCATGATAATGGAGTACATGGTGGGGAACATGGTAGGAGGTGAAGCCTGTGAGTTGGGGTCAGATCCTAAAGGGGCTTCACAGGGCATTGCACAGGGACTGAAAGTCATTGGAGAATTTGGAATAAATGAATAGCAACTACTGGTAAAAGGAGATGAGCTCTCAAGCACACATGCTATCTGGCCTCACCACTGGAGGACTACAAAGTGGGGTGCAATTGCACACCCACTCCCACCACAGTGACCCTGGTCTGCTTCTCTGCATTGGCACTAACTGAAAGTCTGCCTCAGTGATGCTCACAAACCAGTTTGCAGCTGTGCTTACCAAGTACACCTGACTGGTTTTTCCTTTCCAGGTCACGCCCCCATTTGCCACCTGTCTGCTGCCCACGGGGTTGCTTGGAGCTGCTTCAGGACCTCCACTGCTGCTGGTACCCAAAGCTTCCCACCAGTTCTCAGGTGCCTGCATGGAGGGATGCTCCATGTGGAGGCAGGTGGTATGGCTTCTTCCCCTGTTGTTTGTCTCAGGTGGCACCCAGTTCCAGAAGCTGCCTTCCTTGTGTTTAATCTAAAGCCTCTTGCGTACAACAACGTCAGCTCTGGCCCTCACCCATGTTTTGGGATTTGATAAAGACTCTCTTCACAGCTTTTTCTTCAGTGTCCTTCAGCTGTCCATATTAGTTAGTAGCATCATTACAGGACATGAAATGCTACAGGGTGCAGTGGATTCACATAAACTCAGTTATTTATGTTTTCTTCTAGAATAAAAATGGAGGAAGGAAAGACTAAGAATAAAAGTATGAATAAGGACAAGGATTAAAGAAAGGAAAATTCAGCTGAGTATATTTGGGAATAAAATTCTAATTATTTTACCAGAGAATGTTTAAGTCTATAGCTTCTATATTGATTTTAAATTTTTTTTAAAGATTTTATTTATTTATTTGATAGAGAGAGTGAAGGAGTGCAAGCAGGGGGAACAGTAGAGGGAGAGGGAGAAGCAGGCTCCCCGCCAAGCAGGAAGCCCGATGCGGGGCTCGATCCCAGGACCCTGGGACCATGACCTGAGCCGAAGGCAGACGCTTAACCATCTGAGCCACCCAGGCGCCCCTGATTTTAATTTTTTAAACATGTATTTTAAACAAATTATTACTGGAAGCCGACCTTGTGATAGGTAATGAAACCCAGCAGAAACACAAGGTAAAATCCCTTACACACAGAATTTCCACAATACTGGAGGGCAAGGGAGACAGACAATAAGCAAATAAAAATACTTTCTGCTAGATAATGACACATGATACAATTTCAAACTGATGTGGGGAAGGGGATCAGAGAGAGGAAAATGGGCTATAATTGCAAAGACGGTGGACAGAATGGGCCCCTCTGAGAAGGTGGCTTTTGAGAGAAGACCTAAAACAAGAATGAGAACCACGCCATGCAGTGTCCGGGGGAAGAGCTTTCATTCCAAGCAAAGGAACTGCAGATGAAAGCAGTGTTACACTGGGTGTATTCTTAAAAACTGTTAGAACTCCAGCGTGGCTGGCTGTATGGAGTACATGGTGGGGAACATGGTAGGAGGTGAGGCCTTTGAAGAAAGTAGCCTACTTTCTTCTTCTTCTTCTTCTTTTTTTAAAAGATTTTATTTATTTATTTGACAGAGA